AGTTAGAGTTTCCAGCATGGTGGCTGCTGCAGATGAGCCTCCAGAGCCCCCTGCAGTAACAGATAGCTGTCTAGTTGATAAGTCACTCAGGCTTCGTCCATTAATATTTACAGTCTATGTGTGTGTGACAGAAAGTTAGTGCTGAGTTATTTTTTTTTTTAACAAATCCACTACATGATGTTTTTGCTTAAACTCTGCCATGTAGACTATAAAGACTTATTCACATTCACACTTTGTCATGGCAGGAAGAAAACAGATACTCACTTGTGCATCTGTATGAGACGCCAAAGGGAAGTGAAAAAGGAAGAAAGAAAGAAAAGAAACATCATCAAGTACTGGGGATGACTGCATGTTGCTCATTCATATGCTGAAGGATACTTTATGTGTCTAAATGAGAAGCAGAGGAGCGAGGAGGATTATATGGGATATATATGACTTAAAGTGAAAAACTTTTCAAAGTATTAACATAGAATGAGAGCCGTCTGTAAAGAGAGTTCCCATAAGTATAGAAAACCTAGTATATAGAGTATATATCAGTGTGTGTGCCTGCAGCATTTTTAGGGATTTGAGCCATCTGATGACAATATACCACCATGTTCACTGAACTAACAAATGCACGAAGGGTGCATTATGGGAGCAGTGGGGCTTCTTTTTATTCCATACATTTTTTTTGGACTATCAGGGTTTGGGAATGATGTGTTTTTGATTAAAATGCTCTAACAAGCTGATGCACAAATGAGGTTTCAGTCCGCTGACATTGTTTCAGCCTGTTGGGATTTGGAAATAATGGCCTGTCAGAACAATGGCATGGCGCTGGGACAAGATGATGGAGAATTTAAATGTGACTCAGTTTAACAGTGTGGAATAAGACGCTTTTTACAGACTATAAATATCCTTAAGAGGGATACAAATGAAACAGTTTTTTTAAGTGCTCAAATGGAGACTTTTGTTTGGAAAATAGAGAAACTACATCTCAGGAATTTTCAATTTTCAAATTTCCACAATTACCCAGCTTGGGATCAATAAAGCAATTCTATTCTATTCTATATCAGACATTCTCCACCCTCTCATCTTTTTTTTTCAGGGTTTGGAGTACCACCAAGCTTTCAACAAAGCGACTACAGATAGTTTGATGCAATATGTCCACATAGTCAACGGCCAGACAGTGTCAGCTTGTCCTTCAGATGCAGACCCTGAAAGCACCAAGTGTGGCTTATTAGGAGAGAATTGTGTTATTGTTAAGGGATGTTGAGTAACGAGGGATAATGGATGGATTGACAGATGGATGGAGGGAAGGAGGGAGGGAAGGAAGGATGATGGATGGAAGGATGGATGACAGTAGAGATAGATAGATTGACAGATAGAAAAGTCCTGGGTGTGAACTGCAGACAATCTTGGTAAGACTGTGGCTATTTAAGTGACACAAAACAACGTTGGCTTCTTTTCTTTTCAACAAGATGTTCCACACATCTGCTTGCTTGTTTTTGACTCATTGATTCCTGGTTCTGTCACAAAATACATTATGTTGAAGTCACCCACATTCAAAGAAGACGTATCTGGTGTTAACACTGTTATATTTAGTTTAGAATCCTGACATTTGACAGCTTGGAACCAGCACATCCATGAAGTTTTTCCTTTAAAATATGAACTTTATATCAGAGTTCAGATGAATGTAATCATTTGAACAGCTCTGCAGAGAACAGACTTAGTAAAGTCATAAAAGCCAAATAGATATTGAGTTTACTGGAGCTAGAAAAGCTGTGTTTTATAAGCGTCTAACTTTTTTTAAGGTTTATTTTTGGGCCTTTTTATGCATTCATTTTAGAGATAGCACAGTGGATACAGTCAGAAATCAGAGAGAGAGAGAGAGAGAGAGAGAGAGAGAGAGAGAGAGAGATGAGTGCCACATGTTGGATTTGAACCCGGGCTGCCAGCTTAGAGGACTATAACCTCTGTGGATGGGGCGCACTCCCCCTTTTTTATCTTTCAAAATCATTCTAACTCACTTTCATCTAACTTACAAAGATGAAGAATCTTCTTCATCTGTTTTTTGCTTGTCATACGTCTTGTTGTCATTATTGACAGTGTTACCCTTTACCTTGAGATGATTGAATCATGAATATGTTTTTTTTTTTTATATCTGTAATGTGTGTCCAGTGAGCTTAAGTTATTACCATTCACGTTTTGCTTTACACTTTGTTCAAATGTGTGTTGATTTTTACTTCTTTAACATACATAAATACACCAATACAAATAAAGATCATGAACAAAGGGAAATAAACTATGTTCTCTCTGTTTGATCCTCCAGCGATTGTGGTGGCCGTATTTGGGATCTGCTGGGCGCCCTTCCACATCGAGCGGCTCCTGTGGAGCTCAATCAGCCAGTGGACCGACTTGATGCACAACATTTATCAGTATGTCCACATCCTGTCCGGGGTCTTCTTCTACCTCAGCTCAGCAGTCAACCCCATCATCTACAGCCTGCTCTCCACACGCTTCAGAGAGTGTTTCAGAGAACTCATGTGCTCCCCAACCGAGGACACGAGCTCTGTCAGAGACTCACCGCCGTTCCCCAAGATATCACTGGCTCCCTCTGTCTCATCAGGCTCCAGATGTCAGTCGGAGGGTAAGCACTCTAATGCTGTCATCCCTCTGCTGTCTCCTAGAATGACACTGAGCATGGACTCTGCAATCCTCACATGTGCATGTAAAAAGACGACCTGCAGAACCTCTATGTTCTGAGATTTGATTAAGCTAACAGGCATCGAATGCAGAAAAGTGTTTAAGGGAATAGTTATGACATTTGGGGAAATATGATCTTTTTCTTTCTTTCATCCAGCATGATGAGAGGACGGATAACTACATGAAACTAATGCAAGCAGAGTGTCCGCCTAACTCAGCAAAACGTCCGGAAACAGTGAAAAGAAGTAGAATCTGTAAAAAAAAATGTTGTTAATAACAGATCAGAAGACATCTTACAAAATGGTGCAAAGTGATGCAACATGCAGAACACCTGTCATTGCTTATCGGCCTGCCCACTCAGATCTCATTTTCAGGCTTGGTGCTTAAGTTGTGGAAATAGCAAATCTACATGTGGACATCTGTCCCTATGGGCATGTTGGTAATTAAATGAGGATGGAGTATCATTGGAGCATTGCTATCTTGAGGCAGCTGAAAGTAACTGCACCTTGAAACAGAAGAAACCGGATCTAGAGTCAGTGGTGCGGTGATGAACTTTTGATTTACATTGATTTCATCCTCATCCTGCTGTTTATATTTAACCTATCAATGCAAAGAGACCACCAAGAAGATTTTAATTTTTAAATACTTATCTTATACAGCCCTGATTTGGGCTAGGTGTTGCCATCATTGTGAGTTGCTAGTTAGACATTTAGAGAAAAGAAGAACCTTTTTTTTTCTTCAGAAACCACACATGTAGGGAGGCACAAGATCAGCAAAGATAACATTTTGTCCTCAAACGCCAAAATCAACAAATCCTTAAAGTTCTTCACAGAAAAACTAAGGCATTAAATAAAACTACTTAGCACCTTAAATTTACTGAAGAATTACCATTCAAAGTGTGAAAATGCTCTTGAAAAAAGCACACCAGTGTTTCTCAACATGTGGGTCGGGATCCAAAGGTACAAAAGGAAAGCACTTTTCCAGCATGTTTGTTTTGTTTCTTTGTTCTGTCACATTTTGTACTGTCTAAGGTCCAAACTGCAGCATTTTTCATGGAACAAATCTGATTGGTAGAAAAATATCTGAAATGCAGTTTGCGTGAAGGAGCTGGAGGTGGTTTCCTGAGGCTGGACCAGTTGAGAACCATTGCACTAGACAACATGCTATCAATCATATAGATAGGGTCCTTTACAGTATGCTGTCTGTTTATTACGGAAGGGGAATTGCATTCACCAAAGAAAAAAAATGTCACATACCGGCCACTGCTTCGTTTGAACCACTGCAGTTCAAATGCATTTCAAATGCATGAATTAATATCCATGAAACATCCCGTATGGGTTTAACTCCTCCTGCATTAGAGAGCGAGCCAGCAGGTTAGACTCTCTGCCTGAACAAGCCCAACGACTCGAGATGCCTGCACAATGTTCACATACTAATATGAATGCCACCCACATTAAGTGACGTTAATATTTCTGAGTGTCTCATTTCGAGTTAATTGCCCACTCAATTATCCTAGCGTTAGCAATAAACGATAACGGCCTTTGCAAACTCTTCTGATCCTGATCTCGTAATTATGAGACAGAGATATTGTGTCTAATTTTTTTTTCTTTGGTGAGTGCGATGCACTTTTGTAGTTTATTCCCTGAAGAACATTTTTGAGAACAGAGTTGAAGATTTTACTGAAGAGAGCTTTAACTGGTGAAGAGAAAGTGAAGAAAACTTTTTTCCAAAACTCATTTTATCGTTTTAACTTAACATGTCATCAAGGAGCTTTGACTTAAACTTAATCCAGGTGTTTGGTGTTTATTTTTTATAAATTACATTGTTCAACAGTGCCTGCATATTCCACCTGCTGTCTTACTTTGCTGCTGAATGCCTTAGAGGGGAAGCCAGAGAGAAAGTTGGACAATCTGATGTATGTTTTAACTTCCTGTACTTGATTTCTTTGATGTTATTTGGGGGACTTCTTGTGATGCTGGGCAGCAAAAACACGTCAAACTGTTCCGTTTGTTTCAGTGGAATTGTAAACTGAGAATGTGATGCTTTACTGCAAGCTTTTTTCTGGTCTTGTTTCGTCTCTCTTGTCGTACGGCCAGCAGTCGTCCTGTCCATGATATGATTGATTGCTAAACTCTTGTAGAAATGTTCAAAGACTGATTTTGGTGTTTGTGCCTGTTTAAGAAAAAAAAAACACAAATAAATGTTAAAGCTGTCAATATGTAAGGGTTTCTTAATGTGTATGTCTAGTTTGTGTCGGGGGTTTTATTGTGTAATGCTGAGGAGTTCAGTATTCATGACTGCATTAGCTGAATGCTGAATGAGTTTCATCTGACATTTTATTTAATAACAACCATTAACATCGGCAGAAAACGAACACAAAGCATAATTTCCATTTTTTCTCTGTTCAACTTACAATACAGCATGAGCCAAATTATTCTCTCGTCCCATCATCCATCTGAATGAGCTTTTATCCCTTAGCGGTGACAACAAATTACTAGGTTGACTGGCTGACGCGGTTAAGTAAATAGTCTGATGAAGCAGATAGATTGTTTTTTTCCAGCAGATTTACTCCATCGCTCATCGCTACTTGATGCTTCAAGACAAAGCCATTTCCATTTCAGTCACACCTTTCAGACGGGCAATCTCAAATTAAGGGTAATCCTCAGCCTTATGGAGGTTATTTTTTGTGCTCTTGAATTTGCCGTTTCCCTGCAGCAGTCTGGGCCGTGCATTAGACGCATTGGTGTGAGAGTTCAGGGCATTTGGAGTCCATTTTTAGGGATTACCCAGCAAAGAGTCACAGAGGCAACTGAAAGCCTCTCTGTCCTTAATCGCTTCTTACTGGGAAGCCAAAATATTTGGCCTTAGTTTCAGGATTGTTGACATTTAAAGCAGTCCAATACCTGTGTAAACACATGTGTTTAAGGGAAAGTGATGCATATTAATGTTTAGCACGAAAATGTCCTCATTTTTTTTGCCATTATCATATTTTTTTGTACCACAAACATTTTAAATCAGTCTTTTTTTCTTTCACCAGAGGAGGATAAATATGTATGAGGCGGAGAAATGCAAATGGTCATCCGAGAACTGAAAATAAAAATAATGTAAATATTCATGTCCAAGACCACGAGATGAGGACAGAGGAGACCAAGACAATGTGAGAGTGGTTGAAAAGAAGGCGGGAAAAACACAAGCACTGTATCACCATAATGTGAGCGTTCAGTTAGGAGGCGAGATGAAGGAGCGGAGAGTGACAAAGACCGCCATGAGACATTAAATCATTTCTGTGAATGACAAATCCTTTTTTGTTCTCCTTAAATCCAGAGCACAATCAATTTTTGAGAACTTAATTAAAAAGTCTTTTCAATTTAGTCACTCAACACCCACAGGCCTCTCTTTGATTACAGATTCTCTGACACCCCAAGGAGACACCATTTGTCTTTAGGCTTCTGCACAGCTGCAGATCAGCTGGAGAAAGTTGGCTTGCGGGCTATTCTGACAACATTATACGTGTTCAGTCCCGGTGCATCGAAACCAGTGGACCGTCCTCGCTTGTCAAATGTGTAGAAGTTGAATAACTGTCCGTCCTGTGCTTCCAGAGACACAGAGGCGGTGCCGACTCTCAAAACACACGGGTACTCCTTTTCAAAAACCACTCTGAACACCCGATCTACCAGGTAGTTGAGCTTTATTGTCCTGAACTTCTCTGGGATGAGCTCTTCAATCTGAGGTCCGAACTGCTGCATGATGAGAACCCCGTCCTGCCCGGCTTTGATCTCATAGAAGGTGATGTTGCTGTAGGTGTAAATGCCGATGTAAGGTTCAGGGTTTGGCGGGGGAAAGACGACCTTCCTGGCCTCCCTGAAGGCTTTCTCTACGGCTGGGATGATGTAGCTGTAGGCCTTTGCGACCAAATCTTGGTTCTGGGTCCGGCTGCCGGCCATTAGCACCACCAAACCGAGCTTCAGTCTGGGCACCAGGGAGAATGTAGCGGAGTAGCCGTCTAGATCGCCGTCTTTACGCACCATTTCGTACCCTAACAGCTCGTTAACCTCCCACGGCGTCCCAGTGCGGTTAGCAAAATAGTCCTTATCACACTTGAAGACTGGTGTAAGCATTATCTTGAGCGAGTCTGGTTCCAGCAGCTTGCGATGGTAGGCGCTCAGAAGCATCATGGCGAGCTTGGCAAGGTCTGCAGCTGTGGAGAACATCTGACCCGAAGGTCGGTACCAGCCCAGGTCATACAGAGGAGCTGGTTTCCCATTGGAGTAAACTCCCACGGCCATCTGGGCCTGAAGCCCCGGTGTGATGTCAAAGCTGGTGTCCTCCATTCCCAGTCGGTCCAGGATGTTGTCTGTGATCCATCGCTGATAGTCCACGGAGGCCACTCGCTCGGCCATCACATGAGCCAGCAGAGAGAACGCCAGGTTACTGTAGTGGCATCTGGAAGGAGGAAAGTTAAAACAAAGAAGAGTGTTTAAAAATACATGTTAATTCCAAGGGAATTGCAGCATCCTACCTATCCCTCTCTACTTGGTCTCTAATTGGCTAGAACACGTTTACTAAATATGCAAGGGGAGTCTTATGTCATTGTTAATAACAGAGGCCGTTTATCCTTCACTGGATGGGACACTTAAAGAGGACATATTATCCCCCTTTTCCATCTTTTCAAACAGTCCCCTGTGGTCTAAATGAAACATCTGTGCTGTGCTTTGTTCAAACTATAACATGAATCAAGCGCCAGAGGAGGTTTGTGACCCTGTATAAACCAGCTCTCTCAGAACACTCCGTTTTGGTGTGTGTGTCTCTTTAAATGCAAAGAGCCCCCCCCTGAGTTTTCCTGGTAGACATCAATCCTCTGTAGCAAGATTAAAAATGGCGGACCTGCGCAAAAGTTTTGCTCTAGGCTGGGGATGGAGTTCATGGGTGGAGATATCAGAGGAGGGGATTTTTTAGCTGAGCAAATTTGAAACGGAACATTTTTCTCTGTGTTGTAAGACTTATGCAGACTACAAACAAAGGACTGGATAGATTTATTTCACATTTTGTGGGTCAGTAGACACTCAGGTTACCCAAATATATGTTCAAAAACACTGTCAAAGTGGATTTTTCATAATATGCTCATTTGGTGGAAAATTAAGAGTATATTTACTTCTTCAGGCACCGCTACACCACTGGTTGTAACCAAGAGAATGATGAATTTTGAGCTACTGAAATAAACACAACATAACAGCTCTTACTTGGTGCCCGGGTCAGCGACGAGGACATCATCCTGCAGCAGGTTGATTGCAGTTTGTGTTTTTCCTTTCCACAGCAGATTTGTGGCCCTCAGTCTTCTTGGTAAACCTGAATCAACAATCAGAAAAAAACATTCAAACTTCAAACTCCACAAAAACTTTAACAGGCAGGTTTTATAGACATGCACAAGGACAAACACATTAACTATTAATGGCAGCCTGGTGGTTTTGATGTTTTATTCTATGGGTTCATGACATTTCCTCTGAACATGATTACTATGATCATCCTTCGCCTCGGTGGTGACAGAGTCGGGGGAATTAAAGATTAATAACTGGTCTCGCCTCTGGCATTTCTCTCATCTGTTGTATTAAATCTTCAGGTATAATAAATTGAAAGGATCATTCAGACAAACAGGTGCCTGCTTATGCATGACCAGATCTTTTGCGTCATCAATATTTGAATGTGACTCTGGCATAATATATTTTTGAAATGAGCTCAGATATTGAATGTTTGATAAAGGTATCCCCATTTCAATTTCTAAATAAAAACCAGAAGATTATTTTTTTCATTTTTTGCCAATCAGGAACTTTCTGATCACAGAGGTTTAGGATGATATCTTGTTTATCCTTCACAGACTCAGGTTCATTTTCACAACTGATTGATTGATGATACATGCTATAGCAATAGCAACTTCTTAAGCCAGGGGTTCAAGTCTTTCATTATTGTGTCAAATCTTTTAAAGACAAGTCCTATAAACACCAGGAAAAACAGGTCTTATATAAAGTACTCATAAAATAAATGTAACTCTTCACTTTGTGCTTTAGAGCTGTTTTCACATATGCACTCCTAAAAATATCTAGATCATTCAGGAGGACTGCTCCAGATATTATCCTGACCTGGCAGTTGACATACGGAGACTCAAAGCTGGAGACTATCCCTGTCAGAAGGGAGGGGGAGGGGTTGTCTCCTGAGATAAGAGGTGACGTGAAAAAAAGACCCATAAGTAGCAGACGAAGCAACAGAGTCCGCTATATGATGCTATAATGAAAATATTTGCCCTTATATCAATGATGCGTGTAGTCCAATGAAATCATACTTTCAAAAAAAGAGCGGAGAATGACTTACTGACAAACAGAAAACGTAATGCAGCCGTTTAATTAAGTGCACGGAAATCGTAGCGGTCTCGTTCATACACTCTATGCACTGTGCAGCAGTCACAGTATAGAAACATCATTGCCCCCTCCTATTGGCTCGAGGTGAATTATCCGGATAATATCCTGCTGCATTCTCACATCAGCTCAAACAGCTGATTGTGTTCACACTGGAAACGTGTGAAAGCCCCATAACTGTCTCTGACTTATTTTAAACAGGGTTTGCTTTGGACTGCTTCATCTCTTTATTGTGTCTTCTGAGTATCATGTACGTCATACATTTCTATTTTGTGTTCTTTATAGGGCTGTCAAACGATTTGATTTTTGAATTGCAATGAAATGCTGAAATTAAACCCGATCATGATTCATCATATTTTGCATCTCAAGAAAGTTTTTTTTATGCTTTTATTTTGTAATAATATACTGTCCTAATACAAGGGTACTTTACTTCCTGTTTGGATACAAATATGGTTTTATTTTGAAAGAAAATAAGGCACTTGTGTTACAACTTTAACTTAACCACAGAAAACAAGAACTTGTCCTGGATGGAAAATGACTTGAAACCAGCTGAAGTGAACGTTAAATAAGTGAAATGTTTAATGTCACAAGGTGGATATTACTTTTGACTCCTCGACTGAGCTATCTGGGAGTTTTTATTTGTGTTATTTGTATTTGAGTTTTATTTGAGACACTTTGTTAGCCGTGGCTTTCATAACGCAACCTGGCTGTAAGTAAAAATATAAGATTAAACCCCGCCTGTCCTGTAACTCACCTCACATGAGGCATCGCTAGCTAAATAACATTTAAACACAATTACAGTTACGTAAACACTGCCCTACTTTTGATTTTGTCAAATTGAAAAGGGTTTTATTTTCAACAAAACAAACGACCGAAGATGTTCTGCAGACATCTGTACACCTAAGGGAACCTGTGTCGGATTAAATCTTCAATCCTTGTATCACATCACAGCCGTTGAATTAAAAAGGAGCTCCGAGTAATCCTTTGCGTGTTTACCTGAGAGCTGACTGGCCATCCTGCGCAGGGTGACTGACGAGGAACGGATCTGAACCTCCCCGCTGTCCAGAAATATCAGACCATCTGTCACATATTTCAGCTCCGAGTCCCTCGTCTTCCCCAAAGGGTTTTTGATCGTGAAGTTCTCCACATATTTCTCCAGAGGGTCGTCGAGCGAGCCGATCTTTCCGTCCTCCCAGAGTTTGTAGAGCATCAGCGTCGGGAAGATTTTGGACAGGCTGGCAATCCTGAAAGACAAACAACAGAGCGATTGTGATTTGTTTTATAATCTGGCAGGAGACATGTGATGAGTATCTGCAGTTTGATTTACTGCAAAAACACTCAGGTTTTTCTTCCCTGCTTTTCTTTTTACTTACTATCAATTGCTCACGTTTCATCTTCCTTCTGCCTGACTGTTACCTCATGAGAATTGCTTGAAGGGGATTTGTCTCATAAAACCTAGCAGCAACATCTGGTGTTGAAAAATGAAGCCATGCAAAGGAGCAAAGAACTGCACCCCAAACAAAGCTCCATTAACACCCATGTTCAAACACCAACATGTTTACAGCCTGTTACAGAAACCAGCTTTAGTCTGAGAAGCTTGTTTCTTTAATCGAACACACTGGACAGGGGGTACATTTAAAAAAGTAAAAGTGTATTGATTGATTAATTGATTGATGCACAGCGGGAGTCATGCACAAACACAAAGAGCAATATTTTCTCCTGCTGGTTCTGCCGATCACATCGTGCCCATGTGACGCTCAGGGGATCTTGTCATCCCCTCCATTACGCCTCTGTCTTATATATATTGCGAACAAAAACTCACAGGGGCCTAAATTTAGAATCTGAATAGGACTTACAACTTACAAGAGATGAAGTCGAGAACTTACTCTAACAGTTTGAAATTATAGAGCCAAAAAATGAAGAGGCTTTTTTACTACATTTTCTTTCTCCTAATTTGATCCAGTTTTAGTTTTTTTCTACAAGCTATTTGACATGGATGACCCCACCGCTCAAATGCACTCCTAGGTCTGCTTCTACTTGAAGCTCAGCTCTGGTCATAACTACTGAAGCAGCTCTAAGCTTCTTACAATACCATAATGAGCTTTTCTTGTTCTGTGTTTGTACATCTTAAAAGGAAAGTTTTCACATATCGAGCACACAATGGAGTGCAGTCCGACAGAAAGTACTTTAAACTACGTTTCTACCTTTGAAATCTATCTCTAACAATAAAAAAGTAATTCTCAAAGCTCCCCTGTGATCTTAAGACGTAAACCTTGATTTCAAACATGGCCAATCATCATGTCTCAGCTCAGTCATGTTACACTGACTGTGAACTAAACTGCTAGCTCTGTCAGAAATGATCAACGGGGTTAAAATAGAAAAGCATTAACGTCGTCCCGCTGTGAATGAGACAGACCTTTAACAGCACGCCTAACAGAACTCAATAGACCTTTGTACTACTACTGTTGAATGCCACGATTTCAAATAAATGTGCTGCAGGTGCACAAAGTCCGAATAATAGCCGTCTTCAGGTGCAGATTGATCGGAGCTGTGTGCTGCTGTGCGTTCATACATTTATGTTGTCAGCTGGCATTTGCCTAACAAGTGTGACATATCGTGTAGTTTAATGAGGATGTTAAGGTCATTTGTGTTTGATTTTTGTGTTTCCGTTCACACCCGCATTATGCTGCAACGTGGACTGCAACGTGGACTATTGCCTCTGTACGATATGACACGATACGATACACTTTATTGTCCCCTTGGGGAAACTTGTCTAGGTCTCAAATGTACATGGGGCGCGTGACACACTCACTATAGGCTATCGGCACTCCGTCCCTGATTTTCTTTAAAAAGTGGATTGGATTAACTTTAAAGCAACACAGACTTTTCAAGATGATCTGGAAAATGTGGATTACCACTGCAGCAAAATGGGACTTCATGCTGTATTCTTTGACCAGAAGCGTGTGACATCTTCTAATAAGCACTGCTCACCAGCTGTCAGCAGATGTGTTTTTGCTCTGTGTGACGGCTGGTGCCGGTTTTTATGAATGAGACGCTTGAATAGAAAAGGGGACAGTTTTTCCCAAACATCTATGTAATGGCTCATTTGAATACATGCAACCAGCCCCGACGCATGAAGCGGTTTGCTCTGCAGTGCAGTTCAGGGTGCATTCGACCCCACCATATTGTGTTTTGTGTCTTTTTGATTAATTTGCTCAGCTTTAGCAGGCGCAAAGACAGGACAATCCTTTGGTGAATCAGACCCTCAAACTTGTATCTGGGGAGGTTAGTGCACTGTAGTTAACTCAGCTGAGGTTGTTTTTTTTGGTATTAAAAAAGTTTCTTTCAAAAAGTAAAAACAAGTGTAAGCTCAAGCTTGTTTTTGTTTATGTCCCATTTCCCTGGATACACCCGCAGTGTTACACGCTCCCAGCTGTTACACACTCCCAGCTGTTACTTTTGCCTTTTTCACGTAGTCATCAGACATCCAGGGGAAACTCGATCCCCGTCAGGCTGCAACATCAATTACACATCAAAGTCAGGAGCATCTGTGCAGATACATGTACGCTGGCCGAGTAATATTCACAATCACAGCCTATGTCCCCATAACAATGACCCAAGATGATGCAATGGAGCTCATCATCTGATTAAAACGCATTTCTGACTCAGCAGCACATGAAAACAGTGCGCTTCATGTTCCAGAGGGCAGCCGCAGAATTTTGTAATGAAAAAACAAGCAACAGTGAAAAAGCCCATTAACATGAAATGTATTAAAGACACTTTTTTCCTTTATTTTTCTTTGCAGAAGCAGCAAGTTGTGTCAAATCACTTGTTGAAAAATTGCAGAGGAAACACCCATAGACCAGACTGAGATACAAGCAAAGGTAGTCTCTTTCATTAAGACACGTCCTTGGGTACTTCAGAATATAAAGTGTCTACTCAATCTGACAGCAGACAGTCCCTTCTATCCGGGCTTTATTCTGTTAGGGCCTACTGTTCAGTAGACCAATATTTGTTCCTACTTGGTCTGATTCATGGAAGAGGCATAATTAGTCCGCTTCATGTCATTCAACCCACAGATGTGATATGCACGATGGCTAAGTAAATATTAGAAAACTCCACATTCCATGGAAACAATTCAACAACTTAACATTTGAAAGTCGCGTTTACTGAACTGGCCGCATCCATCCTCTTTTATTATTTTTTTCATCCTCGTTTGTTTTGATTTGGCGGCGCATGTGAAGTGATTCATTTCGCATCGCATTGTGGGTGTTAAAATACAATTCATTCAGGATGCATCCAAACCATACTGCACAAAACCCGGAAGTTAGCATCCATGCTGAAATGATCAGTAAACTGAGGTGGACCCAAAAAAAAACCCCACTGAATGACCACGAGGGTTCAGTCTGCTGAAGAGTCTCGCGTCCATACTGCACTGTGGGATTTCAGAAAGAGCCCTTGACTTTCATCAGTGATGCTGACATGAGCGTTCAGATATGGACAGAGAGAGGCGGAGAGCAGATGTTTTTTGATGTCCTGAGGTGGCGCAGTCTCTCTCCTCTGGATATATTTAAATCACTCCTTGGTACACTGAAATCATCTTCAAACATGAATCGAATCAATGACCAATGATTTTGAATTCTAATATAGTAATTCTAATCTAATTCTAATTCTAATTGTATAAATAGAGGGACACTTGTGACATTTATGCAGTAGATTTCACTCCAGAAGTTGACTCACCTGTAGATTGTGTACTCATTTGGGGCTCCTGAAAGCGGGTCACTGATATTCCTCTTCCCAAAGTTTCCGGTCCACAAAACGGTGTCGTTTAGGATCACGATGGCTGACAGAGAGGGAAGGCTGATGGGGTTTATGGTCTGTCGGAGTAAAACATCCACCTGAAAGATACACAGCAGATTTTTAAGATTAATTTTCGGCCAGTTTGTCATTAATCAATAGGACCGTGGATAGAGTCAGAAACCGAGGACCGAGAGTGAGAATTAACGTGCGGGAAAAGGAGCCCTGGGCTATCGCAGAAAGTTAGAAGTTAAATCTCAAAAGATTAAAGTTAAAGGAAGTTAAATCTTCCTGAGTTGGTTAATTCCACTTGACCCTCACAGCGGGACACCATTCCTGTCGGACAGGAGGGGTGCAGTCTCAGGCACGATCTCAATTTCCACCCTAAAGCCTGAGCACTGGAATCTCACTGACTGTAATGGTGACAGGTCTGCAGTGCATGATTGAGTGTGAGACCGCAGGGGTTTGAGACGGTCTAATAAGTGAGAAATGGGACACACTCATCATATCTTCACATGTTGCCAGGAAACAAGATGCCCCATTAAAAAAAAAAGGCTCGACTCCAGTATGTGTTTGAATATCTTTCATTACAGTGTTTATATTTTACAGCACACTCTCAGAAAGTCATGAAAACATAAATATTAATACTGTTTCAATATTTGACTGAAAACACAAACAACTCTTTGATTGTGCTCTAAATAACCACATGAGTGTCAATACACTATAGGCTTCATTTTGTCACTTTAACCTATTTGAGTTTTCCCACCACGTTCATGCTTGTTGCGAATTAATGTTTTTTTTTTTTTTTTTCAAACCTTAAGTAATTCGGCTTCAATTGACGTACATGTCTTTACGTTTTATGGGGGGCTGGACATGAGGACCTTCTTTGCAAGTTTGCAATGAACTCTGGGTAAGTCCCACAGGAGATGATTAATTTACACTCGTACAGTCTGCATCACAGCCCTCAGGCATTTGAACATTTCACAATAGGACATTGCTGAAGTACTTAACACAGTGCTAAGTATTTTTCAGAAAGTATACAAACTTTGATTTTGAAGTACTTCAGTGTGGGTTGGACTTCAAGGTTGATGTTATTGGAGCTTTTTAAACTATAATATGAAAAGATGACACATCTAAAAATAAAAGCACCATGGAGAAGCTTGCATTGACTTGTACTCAACATGTAGACAAAATTATTATTTTCTTATTCAAAGTTAAATCATTAATCCTGACTCGTTACTTTATGAACACAATGTTATCGTGTCGTTCTGTTTTAGGCTGTATCAGACACTTTTGACTCGGACTTCCGTGTTCTCCTCCTGTTTGGCTCTAATTAGTCACAACATGACCTTGCCAAGTTCCTCAAACCATCATCACGTGAGCTGCTTCAGGAACAATAGAAACAACATTAACCTTGACCTGCAGCAGTTATGTCAAAATGAAAAACAAATGTAAGCTGTTTCTGACAGTTTGTCTTTGCTCGTGGCTGTTAAGCTAAGTTTAAATACTTCTATGTGTATTCACAGGAGGCGAGGTTTAATTCCAACAATGTGTGACAATTTAAGAGTCCAGCTGTGTTTATAACGTTCTGTTTAAGCCGACACGTCACTAAACCCCGCCTCTTTAACCCTGGAAATGATAATGATGCAAAATATCACTGAAAATAATTCCTGATTCGGCTGTTTTGGAATTTTACAATTTTTAAGCATAAGGGGTTTTAACTCTTTCGAAGCAAGAATCAGGATGCAGATAACGAGGACAATTATGATGACGAGGATGAGAATGACGATGACAAAGATGATGAAGATGATGACGAGGATGGTGATGATGAAGGTGATGACGAGGACAATGATAATCAGAACCATAATGACGAGGATGATGATGATGATGAGGACAATGATCCCCATGAGGACAATGATCCAGCCATCCAAAACTTAAAACTGATGTCCAATTTAGTGGAAAAGTGATGCAGTGACCTTTTACATAAAATTCGGACCCAGGCGAGAGCGAGATCAGACCTAAGTCCGAACCCAACATTATGAAGTTCAAATCAAGCTGTTTTCTTCATGTTCCAATTGTAGTCCTTAAAGTTTGCAAAGTCCTCTTCAGAGAGTTTGCTGGGGGTTTCTGTTGGTGTCCGCCCTTAAATCCTCACAAAAGTTTTGCTGATGTTGCATCTACTGCAAAATGGCCTCCCTACCTCCATCTCTCATGACCGGCCTCTTCTTCTTGTGACCGGGTCATTGTTACGTGAACCAGCCTTGTTGTCATTTTGATAGATAACTAATACCTTCTCCCCCATCGTTAATGCCAACTTCAAATTCACACACTTAAATCACTCGCGCTCTCTCCGCATTAAATGAACTGCTATGGACCTTGAACTCTGTCTTTGCCTTCAGGGTACCTGGCACTAAATGAGTCGAATGTGGAGAACACCTGACTCTTGCAGAAGGACAGACTCGACTACGGCATGCTCTTGTGCTGAACTTTCTTTATCCCTCCCTAAGGGTTCCTTCCTGTGTGCTCTGCTAAATGCATTTTTACCATGCAGCACAGTTTCAGTTTATTAAGATACAGTTTACTGAGATACATATTATTATGAATAAAATGTTGCTTATAAGAGCATATAAGATACCTGTCTACAGGTGAGACACTTCAGTGATCGATCATAATTTTTATCTAAACCTAAAATCATTGTGTTGCTAGTGTTCCTTAGTTGTTACTTGATGTTACAAAAAACATCAAGCCATAAAGGTTCTTCTAAAGGAGCAGAGATATTACTGTCCCACATGAAATTTCTGACCTTCCGTCTGACCATCTTAACATTGAAGACATTACTGACACATTCACCCAGTGGACAGCATTGTATGAATTGAGTTGCATACTTCCACTGAAGTTTCTCAAGTGAAATTGTTCCATCAAAACAAATTAATTTTGTAGAAAACTTACTGACATTGTTCCCTTTTTTCTAGATCCTTGCTTGTGTTGTACTTACTCTCTGATGTCCGTTGCTTTGAATAAAAGCGTCTGCTAAGTGAATTGTAGAATTGTAGAAAACAGCTCTTAACTGACCACAATGTGTAAAAGGGTTACCAAGGGCTATTTCAGTGTTCATACTGGGGAAAACAATTAGCCTTAAAAAATGATGTTTCTCTTAATTTTTTATTCAAATGTTGGAAAGAAAATCAACCTTCAAGCTGGCTCTAGTCTGTGCCAGTGTGCATCACCTAGTTGTAGTTACAAAGGATGACCATGTCAAATTTTGTATAAACGAAGCCTAAAAAAGTGATCGTAATCAACAATTGGATGATCAATAAAAACTGCTGATGTAAATATCATAAAGTATGAATGACATTTTAAAGATTATTAACCACAGAATTAGCTTGTGGAGCAGGTAGAGAGGAGACTTTCAGATCTTATTTTTCACAAATGGTCATATTGAACATATTATTCTTTACCTGACAAAACCTCTGTCAGCAGGTCCACTTATGTAATTCACTTTCATCTCGTTAAAGAGGACTTGGTTATGAAGGCAAACAAGCTTTGAGAGTCATTTTCAACATTGAAGCATTTTCAGACGGGCTCACAGCACCGCATAACTGTCACAGTTGTCTTAACTGCTTATGATGCATGTTTATAAAATTGTCTCCTCTGCTGGCACAAACCTCACGCATGCGTGGGTTCTCTCTGTGTACTCCGGCTACAAAGACGATGCTCATTAGGTCAATTGGTGACTCTAAATTGCCCGTAGCTGTGAATGTAAGTGTGGCTGGTTGTCTGTTTCTATATGTCAGCCCTCTGATTGACTGGTGAACAGTCCAGATTGTACCCCGCCTCTCGCCAAATGACAGCTTGGGTCGGCTCCAGGCCCCCATGACCCCGAACGGGACAAAGCGGTATAGATAATGGATGGATGGATGGATTTTTATTGATGTTTCTTTTTTTTCTGTCACTCACCTTCTCCTCTAATGTTTTAAACTTGAATTCCTACCTTTGTGTTTCCTCCGTGTGATTGCATTTACTCCCCCTGATTACTCAGCCTCTGCCTGAGGTCTGATTAGTTTCAACTTTATGTGCCATGATTGACTTTGTTTAAGCACCTTGTCTGTAATATACAAGCTCTCCTGATGTTTAACTCGTCTGCACCTTAGTTTTGATTTTCTGCCTGTATATGTCATTAGTTTGCGTCTATTGTTTTTTTCTCTTCCTGGACCTTTAAACACAGGTATGGTGTTATTGCCTTTATTTCTTATATTAAACTTTGTGCTGCACTTATTCTGCCTCGACTGCTTTATGACTTCTGCCTGTGTAACCGTTTCTGAACTTAGATCACAGGTGATACTGGTATTCTTTCATCAATTTAACAGTCACACTTAAATGCAACATCTCGCTGGGCTTTTAGACTTGTGTGCAAACGTCCTGTATTTACAGCACTGTGCACTTTTAAGTAATAATTATGATGCCCCATTTCGTTAGTTATAAGTTTTACTTTACAAACTGTACAATCTGTATTCTGAATATATTGTTTGAAGAATAATGTATTTTGCTTGTGAAGAAAAATCTGCGGGCGAGTCAAAATGTTCTTTAGAATATATTTAAAACAGATTAAATTATTTTCAAAGTTGCTCACAAGAAGGAAACTAGAAAGACACTTGAATAAAACAGATAATATGGGATTTTAACTTCAAATGTACGAGTCCTTTTGATGCTCATATTATTTTCTAATGTGCACTCACTACCTCTTACGCTCCCTTGTGTGCGCAGAGGCTCGACCTTTTCCGCTTACCTACTCGGTTATTCATCTGACATATCTTTAATCTCCTTCTGTCGAGTGCAGCAGCATTTGGTGTGAAGGATTATTGTGGTGGGCCTATAAATGTTCTCAGACTCCAGTGTGGGTCGGATAGAAGTGTACGACCGCAGGATTTAAATCTGGATGCACGACGATGCACGACGATAAACGACTCCGCTCACCTTTTCCAGGGCCTCTTTCAGGCTCGGGATGGGATGCTCCAGCGGCAGCGGCTCAGGGAAACGGGGACACATCATCTCTGCATTGGCGTTGCGACCGTCCTCTTCTGCTGGGCCACATCGGGAAACGAGCCAAGAGGGAAAGGAGCAGAGAAAGGAAGCACAGGGGGGCACAGGCTGTTATAATACCCTCTTGGTATTTACTAGAATAATCTATAGCTGCAATAAGACCAATATAATGTGGTTTCAATGACTGGCTTGGGGCTTCATTAATTTTCTGATGAACCCTGTTGATAATACGGGATATAATATAACAGAATGTATGACACAAGAAAATGAGATGAAAAGAGATGCATCATGGTCTCACTGTGAAATCTGCATGAACACAGACATTTCAATACATTAACCCTTAGCTTCAGGCCAGCGTTTGCCTGTTCATTGTAAAGAAGAGTATACCAGAAAAATTAGATTCTGGGACATAAAGGATAATTGAATTGAACCGAAAATATGATTAAGAGCCTGCAGGTCTGTTCTTTATTAGCATCAATACTGTCACCTGATGTTCCTCTACTCCTGTATAGAATCAGATAATACACATGCCGTGTTTTGGAGAGTAAAGCGACTTGGTCTTTGTGCTCTGATCAAAAGAAATGACACCAAAGAGCCTCTTTTGATGTAAACAAACTTATCACTCCTGTGTGGTGTTTTAAAATATAAAACAACATGTGGAATAAAGAGGAACAGCAGGAAGACTGACATATTTCAGCTCTGTGTTAGATGTTTACACTTCTGGATTGAACAGTTGATGTCACATCTCAAATGTTTTCTATAGTCTTTAGATTGTCTCTGCCAATTATAAATGTTCAACTTACTTAAGGTTACGGTTGTTTACTCTGTTTTCAATGGACTCTGACTTTTGAAGCCAAAATCACAACCTATCTGCTCTAAAAAGCATACAAATATTAACTGAGTGTGTGTAAATATTTCCACTTGTGTCACTGGTTGTGTGTGGGTTTTAAGGCATCCCCACATGGCGGTTTTGGACATCCATCAGTTTGCGAGGCAAAGGGCAGACCAACAGGTGTTGCAGTCATGGAAACAGGCAAGAAAACTGGTTCAGATAGAAGTGATTGTACCCGACCTAAAAAAGCCTCTGAGCTCCTCGACCAGAAACGTTCTCAAACTAGGATCACTATTAGAGATGCTTTTGAAAAATGAAGAGAGGTTAGAACGCAGAAAGGTTTACAGACTGATGCAGAGCTGGATAAACACTGAAGCTTCTGTGTCCGGGGGGGACAGCTCTCTCCAATGTTTTGAATATGAACTGTAGTACCCATTTTAAATGCGAGTTATTATCCTTTAACTCAGAATTAGGCTCATTTACTGATCTAGTTTTATACACTGGGGACCTCTTCATTCATTCAGTGTTGCTCACTGATCAATGCTAGTCATAAGAAAGTTTTCAGATTTAAGGAATTTAAACGGCTTCAGTTGTAAATCTGTAAGCATCGTCCTCTTCTTGTACTTAGTGAGTAGATATGATGCTCCCTGTTCTATCACTGTCATCACCAGATAAGATCACATAATTAAACGATTGTTTTATCTCTTAATTGCAAGATCAGTGTCTTATAATTATGAGATTATAATCTATTGATAATCAAAATTGTAGAAGGGATTAAAGTTGTATATTTCTGCATCAAATAAGAAACAGCATCAAGTGTTACTTTGTGTTGTTTTATTATCCCACACAGAAGCGAAAGTAGCTGAACGTCTCATGTTCAGAAACTCAGAGACACTTTGAATTGTTTTTTTTTCTGACAGTCCTCAACACAAGTCAAACTCTTTTCTAACTTTTCACCTTGAGGTTTTCAACTTGAGTGCAAGATCTAAGTCAAAGGTCTGAAATACAGAAGCCCTCAGTGGAATGGACACGCACCCTTACATTTTATTTACACTGTTTTCCTGTGATAGCAAGTTCTTTCTGGTAGTTTTTTCTCGAAATCTCAATTTATTCAACTCATATCCCCAGAGCTGCAAACAAACTCATCAGTAGGTTAAGCTCTGTGGGCAGAATTGCAAGTCTCCATCTGTTGTTTGTTTGTAAATGTGTGCATGGTCTGGGAGGACTGTGGAACTGAATTTCCCTCTGGGATAAATCAAGTTCTCTAAGTCTAAATCTAAGATAACACAAAAAGAACAGGCCCTTTAACTAGAGCTACAGCTAGTCTATGGCTACAGGGTGGCTGTGTTGCAGTTTGAGCTCAATGTTTGACCGGCATCAAGGGCCAACATGTTAAACTTGAGGTCATGCTGCTCACTAGAAGAAGAGCAGAGTTGGTGCAGTTGCTGTAAACCAGCATTGTAAGGAGACAAGATGACCAAGTCATCAGCATACATCAGAAGAATTTAAAAGTCTATCACACAGTGTACATCCAGCCTTACAATCTTAGCTGTTCAGAGATATCATCCATGTCAAAGTTTCAAAGAAGAGGTGACAGGACTCCACCCTGTCAGACCCCCTTAGTCACTGAGAAGGGTCCTTTATACTCCTTCCCAAATGAGCCGGGGCCCCTTACTTTCGTATTTTTTTGAACAATTAATTGACGATGATTTGTTTTATCCAAAGCTGTTATTATATCCAGAAAGCACATTAATACTGTAAGTTACGTTTCAATTACTTGCTTACATCTCCAACATGATGGAGCTGATAGCATCTGTGGTAAGACATGGTGAAGTCTGAGTCTAATCAAAGATTCCAGGTATCCCCGATATAATTTCATGCCTAGAAGACTCAGATATTTTCCCCGCAAATATTCACGGCATGTGTCACCTCAGCTCCTCCATGTGACATCGGCTTTATTACCGCTGAAGAGCTAAAAGGGCGTCCGACTCTGTCAAACTAAATTTGTTGCAGGACCAATTCAAGCTCTATACCAACTATTACTTCACGTCTTATTTGGGTAACCTGAGTGTCTACCGACCAACAAAATGTGAAATAAACCCATCCAGTCCTTTGTTTTTTGTCTGCATAAGTCTTACAACACAGAGAAAAATGCTCTGTTTCAAATTTGATCAACTTGTGATGTCACAGTGGGATTCTGGTAAAAAAATAAAAATAAAATACCATACCTCTCCCCTGGTATCTCCACCCGTTGACTCCACCCCCAGCCTAGAACAATACTATTTCACAGGTCCGCCATTTTTATTCTCTCTACAGAGGAGTGATGTCTACTGGGAAAACTTAGGGGGGGCTCATTGCATTTAAAGAGACACACACACCAAAACGGAGCGTTCTGAGAGAGCTGGTTTATGCAGGGTCACAAACCTCCTCTGCTGCTTGATTCATGTTATATTTTGACCAAAGCACAGCACAGATGTTTCATTTAGACCACAGGGGACTGTTTGAAAAAGTGGAAAAGGGGTATAATATGTCCTCTTTATTGGAGTGTACTACTACAGTTCATTGCTCTCGATATTTAGCTGAGGGTTGGTTTGAAGGCCAGTTGTCTGTTGTGAAGGCAGCGTAAGTGTTTTTCTCTCTTTAGCTCGACTTTAGCTCGTTAAGTCTGTGTGGGTGCGTCTGTGTGTGTGGGAGTGTGGAAGATAAAAATGTCCTACATGAACCAGAATGATGGTTATTATGTGATCTTGGATGCAATCACTGATGATTAGTTCTAACACTTTTTGGAATTATTCAAACCACAACAATCGTCTCATACTGTAGTCCTCTTTGCTTGATATTTGACCAGTTTTGTCTTTGACTGCTAGCACTAATAATAACACAGACAACACAGAGTCATGAAGCACACCATACGCTAACAATCCAGAGAAACACAAAGTAAGTAACACTGCAACTTAACGACTAGCATGCTCCAGATGTTCTGCTGTGATTTAGTTAAGATCACATGCTTGGTGTACTGCCAGTTTCCCAATAGCATAGCACACGTCATCTGGTCTAATGACCACACCATCATTATGAGAGATATCACCAACATAATACTCATCATTCTTTACACTGTTAAAATATCATCTCAAGACAATGAGATAAAGAAGTTGAGATCTCAAGAATACATCTGGGGAGTACTGGTTATAATGGAAAATGGAGGTAATAGATTTATGGGTGCAGCTCTGCTCCGTACTGAAATACACAGATGCACACATTTCTTTTAATCCACAGAGAGATTGGAGGTCAAAGGTCAACATAATTGCCTTTTTATAAAGTTTCAAAATATGTTTTAGCTTTCAGGTTTGAATAAAGTCCAGTATTAAGGAAGTAAATGGCCAAAAAGGCCGACCATTTACATTTAAATTGACCTCAGTAAAAATAGCGTCGGAAAAAATTTAGGAAAAATACAATACAAAACAAGATAACAAGAGCGTTCCTCACATTTTGAGAAAACATTTCTTCCCCCTTCTGACTCAACTATACTACTACACTATACATCCCATGTTGTCACTGGTTTGTTCTCACCTGCCGGAAGTTTTGGGAGCTGATATTGCCAGATGAAGCATCCTGTCATCACCAGAGAGAGAACCAGGAAGAACACAAATCCCAGCTGGCTCCATTTCACCTTCATCTTGTTGTTTTTTGTGATTCCTTCGAATTTGATGGTGGGAGCAGCAGGAGCAGCCTCAGCAGGAGCCGGCTTCCAAACAGAACAACAAAGAAAAAAAAACACAAAGTAGGTTAGCAGAAAATGTGTACAACAGTTGAGTCATACTCTATTAAAATTTCCACTATCTGTCTTCTCTCTGACCAGATATTCTCCTCCATGTTATCTGATGCAGGAAAGCAGAAATCCCCATCACACAAGTGATCCTGATGCACTTAACTGTACTCACCACCTGATGCTTCACACACAGAGCTGGGAGGAATGGATTACCAGTAAAAACAGAAATCTTCTTATGGCTCAGGCGACATCCTGCGAATTTACAAAGAGTGAGCTCTACTACCGAAGGGATATCTGCATCCCAAATCTACTAAATGGTATCCTGTAGATCTTTTTTTCTAAATCAGGAGAAAGGCACAGACACGGAGTCCCATCTCTGATTTCTCACTGACTGTGCTGTAATCCCAGGCCCATCAGCGCTCCCGTCTCTCACAATTCAATTTCCTCTCCTGCAGCCACAGGCCGTTGACATCATAATCCCCAGATTTACTCCACCAAAGCGGTCGGGGGGGGAAGTCGTAATCCCTAATCCCCGTGAATCAATTCACTCCAGTCCAGCCTCGCCTCCTGAAGCCCACCAGAGAGCCGCACGAGCTCACTAAGATGGCACCCAATCAGCAGACACGGACGAGGGGGAAACAGGGTGATATACGGTGCTCCTTGTAGCCTGAGCATGACCTGAAAAGTGCAGTCACTCGGGCGCAGAGAATTTGGATCAACTGGATGAGGGAATGACGGATGATTTGGGACGTTGAGGGGAATTCAGATAACGATCTAGGAAATGTACTAACATCTACAAGTCCGTCAGTCTGGCTGCTGCAGGATTACACACAGACACTGCTGCAGGATTACACAAAGACACACAGATTTGTTTGCTTATACACCTCCCTCGCCATGAATTTCTTGATTCTTCACATTGTAAAGACTAAAACAATGGCAGTATTACATTCTTGTAAAAGTAGAGTTGATATGGCATTAAAATAGGTGAATGTGTTAGCCGTCTTTGTTGTTCTTATTGGGGCACCTTAAGAAAATATTATCATAAACTCTCTAAAGCATGACTTCAGTCAATTCTGCAGCAGGAAGAGGTCATTTACTGCCACATGTAGAGGCCCCAAACCAGGAAAGAATGAAAATACTACATACACATCAGAGATGCAACAATTCTCAATATAATAATATGGCATCTGGAGTTCATACTCCCTGCATTGTATTTCAATGTATCTCTGAACCGGCTCTTTTTGTGTGTGCCTGTGAGTCCACGCGCTGGAATAAGGAAACCCCATGAGTTAATATTCAACCACTGTGCGCTAAAGTCGAGGGAAGCTGACAACACTGGAGTCAGGTTTCACACATTTTATGACATGGCGAGCTGTGAGGAGAGGCTGCAGTATGAGAAAGCGCCACCGTCTTTCAAATCGGTGGTGTGGGGACATTTCAGTTTAGCGTGGAGTAAAAAGACAAGGAAGAGAAAATGGTAAACCCCCAAAAAAAGACTTTCTGCAAACATTTACACGTGTCGCCTAATCAAATGGAAACACTTGCAGAGTTTGGCGATGCCAAAGAGATGCTTTTGAAAAATGGAGAGAGTTTAGAAAGCAGAAAGACCGATGCAGAGCTGGCTAAACACTGAAGCATCAGTATCCGTGGCATGGCAACTTGTGTGCCCCTCAACTCTAGAGAGGAGAGGAGGGGGCGGGGGGGGGAAAACAGTCGTCACAAATGTTTTGAATTTGGACTGCAGTACCCATTTAAACACTAAGTGTCAGAGTTACATATTGCTCCTTTAAGGTGAGCTCAGGTGACATAAAAGGGATAAAAAAAGAGCAACATTTATATTTTGTTGGGCATCAGAGAAGCTATAAATCCATGAGCTGGAAACTTTTGGATATAATTGAATTCAAAGGACTTTTCAGCATTTTGACAAATACCTTTAGACAGGTGATGCGACAGGTATTTAATTCACAGTGTTAGCCAAAACATCCAGAGTCCCTAAGTCCTGAAAAATGTCATTTGTTTCTGACACATGATTAAAAAAACATTCCCTTTCATATCTTTAGGGAGGCTGCTTTAAACAGAACAGATTGCAATCTGTCTTTTCCATAAATAACTTTTTGATTGAATCTTCAGAAGTTTTCTATCATAATATCTCAGAGAATTTAATCTATCTCCGTCTTCTGGTGAGCCTCTATAAAGGAAACACTCTCTGGTGGACTTTGTACCACTGAGAACATCCAGTGACTGTCGATCCGTCACTCAGCTTAATCACAAGATATTAACTGTTGGTCCAGAGGTCACTGATGTATTTTGATGATGATACTGGAGGTTTGATGTTGCCATGTGGGGGGAAAAAAGTGTGAAAGCACGCTGCAGCTGATCCTGGTTGTATAACCTGTGATAGCTGGAGGGCACAACAGCTGTCCCATTGCACCAGACACACACACACACACACACACACACACACACACACACACACACTCACACAGTCCACCAGAGCACAAGTTATCACAGCAGTAATGTTATCATTAATACACATTTTCTGATGTATTTTGTGGTTCAATCCCTAATTTTCTATGTGTGTGTGTGTGTGTGTGTGTGTGTGTGTGTGCGTGTGCGTGTGCGTGTGTGTGTGCGTGTGTGTGTCTGCTGTTATTTTTAGTGAGAAGTTTTACCTGTGCCTGAACCCCGTCCACTGAGGCCTCCACGAGAACTTTACTCCCGGCCTTGCCCATTGTTTCTCTACTCCAGCTGCTGAATGAAAAACAAAAAATAGTAGTTAAAGATTCTGCACAAAGCCTGACTGCTTTACTTTGGTTTTAATTTTGTAGCACCGTAGAGCTACAGCACATCATTTTTCTTTTGCACTTTCGATAACTGAGGAACTTTGTGGTTTGCTTGTTGGTTGCTGTGAATAGACGACCACATAAAACCATCCATCACACTATGCCTTAAGGCCTCGGTTCACTTGAAATTAAATGAAAAAAACAGTTTTTCTGCCATAATGTAGAGGTGTTTATAACACTACGAAAGGTCGACATTTTAGAGGGAGGAATTGCAAAACAACTCATCTTTTAGGCATCAGATTTATGGTTAATAATGGTTCAATGTTTTAACGCTTTAATTGAAAAGTGAAAAACAAGGTTGGCCATTTTATTTCCTGAACTTTGTTTTTCAGCGGTGTGTAGGTACATAATAAATGTTTTCTTCCAACAAATAACCACATCAAATTGCTTCTGTTTCCGACTGTTTTTTTTTTTTTGTATTGCTTTGTTTGTACTGTAAACAGAATTTTGTGGTATGTGTACAATGAAAAAAAAGAGATATTGTTCCATGGTTTTGCCTCCTAATGCAATTGTATAAAAATGACGCTCTAAATCTCAAGCTGTCTTAAAGTATTAGATACCTACCTCCCTACCTCCCTACCCAGCTCCTCCTCTTGACCCGTTTCTAGGCTGGAATTAAGCCTCATCGAAAAAAAGCTCAAACGTGACCACTCGTCAATCCAATCCGCGATGGCTCTAATTATGCAAATCTATGCACAACTCTTGGCCTAATAAAAAAATCCAACCCCACACAGCTTTTACCACTCAAGGATGAGCTATAGAGACCAACACTGTTTCTGCAGCTGTAAACATGCTGTTTAAATGGCATCTTAATATAGGTGTTAATGGGGATTCCTTGGCTTTTGCATCCAGCCTCAGGAGGACACTCGAGGAAAACATTTTTTTTGCACTTCAGCATTGGCTTTTTTTTTTTTTTTTAACTCTGGAGGTTGCTGCTTGGTTGTGTCCAGAGCAGAGCATAGCAAGATGATAACTCCTGAACACAGCTTTTTTACTTTGGGAATACGTCCTAATGACATGTTGTCATGCATAATAATAATATATGAATGATTAATAAAGAGCCAATGTATTTCTAAATGCATGCTCATATACAAGTACAATGTTTACTATACATACCTTATGTCAAAGTATTACCGGATAACATACTGTGAGAAAGGATATGCAAATGTATATTTGTCTCTAGAAAGAGAGACAATTTTTTTATACTCATTGTGAATTTTTATATTCAACATTTACGACTCTTGCCTCGTAGCTCTTATTTCCTTATTTTTTTTTTGTTCTAAAAATGTTTTGTGTAATCACAAAGACACAAAGCTCAAAGCCTCCTAAAGTATGTTGAAGCGTACTTGGCATTATACCTGATTCTGAGAAACATCACTCTCTGGGGAAGGAAAAAGCTTACAGTGTGTTTGGGGTTATTTTAAAATCAGGGTAAACTTTGTATTGAGGGATGATGCTTATAGGGACAAAATAAAAGCAGTTTCCAGCCGACTATAGGAAGTCACAAAACGTTCTATATCACGTCTGACTCTGTGTCCCTTTCCTACACATAGTTAGCCTCGGCCATTATTGGCAGCTTGAAAAAAGCTCCCAAACCCATGCTTCTACAAACTTAGTACACTGAATGTCTTTTTTTCCATTGCTCATTCATTGACTGCACAGTGAAACTTGCAGGGTCAGGGATGTTGATCTTACAGCAGTACAACTTGAAAGACAAGTTGTACTGTTTCCAAAGTTCACACACATTGCTTCCTTTTTGATTAACTCAAATTGTACGCAGGAAGTGATGTGGAGCTTCTCGTTTCGTCTGGTTAAACCTCATTTCATTCTTATCAAATGACTCATGATGGCTCTTCAACAAAACACCTTTTCAAACAGGAAACAGAAAAGCTCAGTGTATCCATAAAGGCATGCTTACATTCTCACTGTTGGAGACCTTGGAGGGTTATCTTTGATGAGCTGTGATCTCACAACTTTTATATCAGCCAATAGAAGGTGAGTGTTTAAATCATTATGCCACACTTCAACACACACAGTCCAGTGTTTCACAGGCTTATTCAATTATTCTCACTGCTTCAAATGCCCGCTTTGACGCAGCTTTGCAA